TTTTTTTTTTTTTTTTTTTTTTTTTTTTTTTTTTTTTTTTTTTTTTTTTTTTTTTTTAAGATATTTTCTTTTAAGCGAATTATTCATTTTTTTTTCAGTTTGGGGAGGGCTAAGTATGAGGTAGGTTTGCCCCTAGGGGTGAATTTTAAAAAATGGCGAAAGCTGCGTTACCGAGGAGGGATACCTGTCTACGCGTATACGCGGTGGGATCCGATCCCACCCCGTAACTATCGGTCGGACAATTTTTCGGGGTCGACACTTTGGAAATCCCTTCTACAAGACTCTATCATGATAATATAAAATCCCCCGGAAGATGTTCCCACGTTCATCCGCGGAGCGGGGTCTGCCTCGTAGACTTCTCTGTTTTTTTTTTTTTTTTTTTTTTTTTTAAGATATTTTTTTTAGGCGAATTTTTCATTTTTTTCAGTTTGCGGAGGGCTAAGTATGAGGTAGGTTAGGTTAGGTTAGGTTGGGTTAGGTTAGGTTAGGTTAGGTTAGGTTATGTTTTTGCGATAACTTTGATATCTTGGATAACTTGGATAACTTTGATAACTTGACAGGCTCCCCGAGTCCTGTTTTTCGCTCCTTTTTAAAATTTCCGGTTTTTTTTTTTTTTTTTTTTTTTTTTTTTCCCCGCACCAACAATAGTGTCGTAATCATTTTTCGCTCTTCCTCATCCCATTCGTCCGTCAGCGGAAGAAAATGAAAAAAACGGATAGCCTCGGATTCCTCGGGGACGGCTTGACGAATCCGATTCCCCATAAGAGCCCGTGTATTCGTAGCTCGTCAGGGATTGGAGATAGGAGAAAAGTGCTTGGTATAAAAAGTGTCTATTTTGGACCGGGGAGTTCGGATCCGGAGCCCGAAGTCCGTCCGACGAACGCTGCGAAAGTTGGATCGGGAAATTCGCGAATTTCGAGGAGGCCGTTTCCGGAAAATTCGAACCCGCCCATGTAGCAAACTTTGCTACAGATTGTGCTGGCAGACCTCGAGCCGACATCTACCGTAGATCACGAAGAGCGGTTTAGACGTCGACGGTCCGCACTATTCTTTTGTTTTCCGCCGATTTTTTGCCAAGCTGGCAGATGTTTGCCGTAGATCTCTAGCAGATATCTGCGGTAGAACTTTAATTTAAGGACGAATCATATGCTCCTAGATTGCTACTAGCTGTCTGGTAGATATCGAGCGCAGATATCAAAGAGAAAGATTGTTCTACGTGAAGTATACCTTGAAGGCGTTTTTAAAATCCGCAGTACCCTAAAAATTTGTTTAACCGGTTGCATACATAGAGACGTCAGGCGTTTTAAATGCCGATTGAAAGCCGCGATTTCGCCTCAAAAGCATGTGCACCAAATTGCATATGTTTCAGCTGAAGGCGTTTCTCAAAATTTCTTGTGCGGGCACCTTTATCCCGATTGGCCCTTCATGGTAAAGTAATATTCCAGAGCGCAAATAGAATAAAGCGCACTTCACATATTTTTACCTGTATTTTTATTCAGTCATTAAGACCGGTGATACTTTCGTCATTATAACTTTTCCGTCATCATAAAAGAATGAAGATCGGACGCTAAAAGCATGCCTCGTGGTAAAAATTCGAATTAACGGAACGTGACATTTATGTATGAATATCTGTCACTCCGTTGCACAAAAAGACATTGTGGGGAATCCTTATACACTTGTTCTTACTTTTCTTGCAACCCACGTTTAGCCTTCTTATTGCAACATTGAGCATCCGTTTTCATCATATTTGGCTATTATCATCTAATTGTCATTACTAAGGCTATTTGTCGTGTGTAAGTGTGCAATTCAGCCATCCGCAGGAGTGGATAAGTTTTCTAAGCTAAAATCATTGAGGTATAGATCGAGAGTTCAAAAGACAGTTAAAGATGTGAGAAAAATAGATGCTGAAGAAACTAATCGTACCTAAGCAAAGTACCTGAAGAACAGTAAAAGAAGAAGAACCTCGGGGCAAGTCAAATTGAAAAACTGCTGTGACACAATGGTGCGCGTATTGTGAAAGTATGAAGGGATGTACATAATTGAATTCCTTTCTTTGTATATTCTAAAAATAAAATATACACATACGTTTTCTAAATTAGTTGGAGTCTCCAGACTTCAAAGATCAAATCAAAAACTCCAGATTTTTTTAAAGTATATCTAACCCAGATGGCGCACGAATATTCCTGGAATGTTCAAAGAACATTCCCTAGAAAACAAGGAATATTCCCAGAATATTCTGCGAATGTTCAAAGAATATTCCCAGAATATTCAGGGAATGTACAAGTGGGAAAAGTTTTGAACATTGAATATTCAGAGAATGTTCTAGGAATAATCCATCGGAGGAAATTCCTAGAGCATTGAAATGTCCTGAAATTTTCACGAAAATTTTTCTGCGGACATTTCGTCATCTTCCGGTCAAAGTATCATAAGCGCCATGTGACGTTTCAAAATTTCCGCCGCAATTTGATTTTTTTACAGTGAAATTGTTCAACGAAGCTATCCGAAAATTTCACAGAATTTTCTTCGTGCTGGCGATAAATTTCAGCAAAATTTTCGAACAGATTTAACCAACAATTTCTCTGTAAAAAAATAAAATGGTGGCAAAAATGTTAAAACGTCGCACGGCGCTTGTGATACATTGGCCAGATGGTGACAATTTCATGTTTTAACAGAAACCATCAATAGGTTCAGAAAAATTCCAAAAATTCTTCTCGCGTCAAAAAATCACATACATTTTGAAATGAAATAGACATGTTATGTGTTCAATGGTTGTATGCAAACCTATCACACACTACTTTCCTTGAAATTATACGATTTATCTACACTGAACAACAAATTTAATGAGTTTTTAAAAACAATAATTGAAGCAGTGGTTTCCAGATAAAAAATAAAATGACAGCAAATTTTTTATTTCAGTTGAGGCAAGCAGGAGATAGTTAAGGAAAACAGCATAACTTGAAATGAAAAAGCATTAAATTGAGAACAAAATAAAAGTTTTGTATTAAGAGAAAAATAATTGGTTTGGTGAATAAAGAACACAAAAGTTGGCGCTTAAGTTATTTGAAGATTGCCTCCACAGTTGAATTGCTCAAAAAATAGTTATACCTGCAGAGATAATGGGGGGAAAACATTAAAATTTGAACACAAAACAAAATACTGGTTAATAAACATAATATTACTGCATCTTACAAAAAGAGGTAAAGCCCTTACTCCTCACTCTAAAAAATTAAACAGCGATGTATTGTTTTTAAAAAAGACTTCAGAAAAGTGATGGAGAGTTCGGTAATAGCAGCAAGCGGAGAACTTATGATGACTATGATTGTGCTTCTTTAGATTTTATATATCGGAATGATATGCTAACTTAAGGAAATACAACTTGCAATTTTGCAACTATTCTTTAAGCAAATAAAATCCATTATTTTTAAAAGAACTTTCGTCTGCTGTCTTAATGCTTAATACTTTTACTTAACTTTTCCCGAGAGAAATTGCAATGACGTACAAAAAAGAGTAGAACGCATGAGTCTGTTCTTGTAGAACATAGACTCTGCAAGACTGTGGTGCTTTTTATGCTAAATATTTCCATCTTAAAAATTAGGGTGATGACGTTATTAATAGCTAAGTGGTGATAAAATGGACGTATTTCAAATAATAATTAAACTAAGCTAAATTTTGGCAATGCATCACTTCTAATTATAACAAAGACCCTGGTAACCGAGATCAAAATTGAGGACCTTCTCGCGCAAAGGTAACATTGAAAAGATTCTCCAGTCTCTGGCAAATCATAAAATTAAGTGGTTCTTGTTAGACTTGAAGGATATGTACTGATTGCTCTCATGAAGAAGGCCAAACAAAATTCTGCAAAGTTAACATTTTTCTTGACTCTTAGGGGTCGCAAACCCATGAACCATTAGCACTACCTTCCCTCCTTCTGAAAGGATCCTCAATCACAATTTTGAATTGACTTAAGTTGTGAAATATCATTTCTAATATTAACATTCAACTTCAATTTAAGCTTTACAATAGTTAGAGTGCAAATAACAATTTGAAGACCAAAAGTAATAGCCACCATTAACAGCACCTTATTTGACACTTACGATATATTAGGAAAAAAATATTAAACAAGAACAATTACACAAAATTAGGACTACGAGTAACACATAAGGAAAAAACAATAAATAAATCGAAGTAATAAACCCAAAAGAAATCAATAGGTCTTTAGCTTTCTCAAGATATACCGGAGGGTTTTCCATTTTTATTTTGTTTTTATTCTACAATACGCTGCCAAAACCAAAAAAAGATATTTAGAAAGTGGGACCTTCGTAAACAGTGCCAAAAATCTGTTATTTGCCAGGGCCTGCAATAGAATGGATGAATTTTTAAACAGTTATTTTATTATTGTGAAAAGGTTGGAACCTTCTGACATGTACCATGATAATGTTAATAGCTTGAATGTACCAAATTATTTTAAATAAAAATAAATAAATAAAAACTTCTTTTGAAATTTTAATTTTAGAATTATTGAAATGGCTTCAAAGTTAATTGTTTCAAAAATTTAAATTAAATACGTTACTACACATTCTTTAATTTTAGTTTGCAAATTATTTAATCGTGACAGGACAAAAAGAATTTATTCTGATTCTCCAAAATTGCTCTCAGTTTTGGGCTACCCACAACTGCAAAAAAATCACTCTTCATTGACCAACCATTTGAGGGAGACCGCAAAATGCAACCCACATAAGAGCAAAGTAAACCTACTTAAAGGGTAAAGGAAATTTTTAAAGCACTGTGCCAAAAGGATGAAAAAGGTGAAAAGGCAACATCAGTATTCTCCTAAGAAAAAGTGCCTAGACCAACTTTGACCGATTAAAATCGACCTCGGAATGGAAACGATTCTCATTCGACAGGAATGGCATTGCCGTAATTCATCAACCATGGAAAGCTAATGCTTAAAAAAATAGTACCATTGGTTCGAAAAAATACCACTGTAAAGCAAATCGGGTAAATTATTCAGAATTCCACTAATACAACGTTCACTATACTCATTGAGGCTTGTTTCATTGAGAAGAATTTAATTTGAAGATTGCAGTTAACAATGCTCCCCTTTTATTGCGTTTTTTGTTAAATTCTTCCATGATTCATAGCCTGATTCTTATAAAAACACTTTCGTAATTCGTATCAAAACAGCACGGCTTAACTGCCTCGAGATATTCGAGAGCTGCGTTGCCATCCACAGAGAAAAACCCTTATCTTCTGTATGTTGGTGGTATTATTGTTGTTACTTGTTACTTAATTGTTATGACTTCTACATAAAACTATTGAACAAAAAAATAAAATAAATAATTCTGAAAAAATATCCCATAAGACCTGAGAAAAAGGCAAATAATTAATCTATCAGAGATTCATCGAGATTCTGGCTGTCCTGTTCATAGAGGTTCTGGCTGTCCTCTTCATAGAGGTTCTGGCTGTCCTCTTCATAGAGGTTCTGGCCGCCTCTTCATAGAGGTTCTGGCTGTCCTCTTCATAGAGGTTCTGACTGAACCCTTCATAAAAAGTCTCGTCCTCGTCACTACAGAGGTTCTCCCCCTCATCTTCATTCAGGTTCTCCCCTTCACTTCCATCGAGATTCTCCTCGTTTTCATCGAGATTTTCCTCGTTTCCATGGACGTTCACATCTTCCACTTTTTCTTCTTGCACGCCTTCGTTTCTACCTCGGATCTCTTCTTCATTTTCATATTGGCTGTTATCTTCATTTGAGGCCGGGTCCTCATCTTCGCTTTCACCACTAGAGCAACAAAAAGCATCATGCATTCATTAATGGTTGCAAACATGTTCACCAAAACTTACGCTCTATTAATAATCATGGTTAATGACAGCTTTTCAAAAGCAAAATTAAGGATTTTCAAGAACTTCTACTTGCCAAAGTCAAGAACTTTCAATGAGTTCTCAAGGACTCCCAAAAAAAAATAAAAAGTACTTTTAAGAAAAACTTAGAAGGATTAAAAGAGTGCATACAGAAATGAAAAATTTGTTTCCTTGTATCCTTGTTTCCCTACTTTCTACATGAAGAGGCAAATTTAAAAAAGAGATTCTTCAAAAACACAAAATGCACCGAGAAAAAGAAAGAAAAAAATTACCAAGATATTGTTAGTTTTGCAAGAATAGTAAGTAGATATGCATAAAGAGAGAAATTTGTTGGAAGAAACAAGGGTTCGATATCTTACCCGTATACAGGATTGAGACTCATAGAGTTTTTTTTTTTCCAAAAACAGTGCATTTACACTACAGATGAATTGAAATCAGGAAAATTTTCCGAAAATCAGTACAGTTCTTTAGATGATTTTAGAGGATTATTTTGATTAATGATTTTCAAACACCATAATTGAATGCCAAAATGATACAAAAAGACAGGAAATCACAGGATGATGTAAAATTCATGAACTTTCCAGTACAACGGGGCTAAATCCCAGAATTAAATTCAAGGACTTGAAAATGCGAAAAAAATATCAAGTATGTTCAAGGACTTTTCAAGGCACAACAAACCATGATACTTCTATCTAAAGTTAAAA